CACAGTGACTGTGTGTGAAACATTGGAGAGAGCATGCTATTCTGTGCTTGTAGGGAACTTGGGTTTCCAGGTACCTCAGTTAGAAACATCTTTCCTGATGAGGGTGCATTTTATGGATAGGGATATAGGCTCCCATTAATCTTGTGGCTTCCAGGGTGCAGGGAGAGAAATCTAACTGCAGGTTACCTTTTATTTAAACGACATTAAGAGTTTAATGCATAGTGAAGAAAGATACAAGATGTGAAGAAGGGGTTAACTGCTTTCTTTTTGCACAAGGACTTGACTTCTTGTGACCCATGACATTCCAGGCTTTAAGTTATGTCAGGAATGGGGGTTAACTGATAAGAATTCCAGATGCCAGCTAGAACCCCCCCCCAACGAAGGAAACATAAAACTGACCATTAAGAGTGGTCAAAGCCTGGGGGACTGTCCGAACACCGTGACCTCTCCCCATTACCATGGAAACGAAGTACGACAGAAGCGGACATTTCGTGCTATATAAACCAGAAGTTTTGTACCTGTATTTTGAACAATATTTCAGTCTTATTGTTCCTTGCATGCAATAAACTCGCTTGTTTAAACTTAATCTCAGGTTCCAGAACTTATTTGTCTGTTAAGTCAGTAGAAACAGTCAAGGGTTTTCTGGGTGAGCAGAATGTTAGGCCTCTGAAATGCCTTGTCTGTAAATACTGTATATAAAGTAGCATGTTTTGTTGTGTGTTGTGTCATTGTTTTAAACTATGAGTCCTACCCCATTTGTAACAATATAATGTAACTTTGTGTGTTGTATGTTTTGTGTCTTATGTAGTTTATGGTAATAAATATTTGTTTAACTATGTGTGCCTAAATTATTGCTCTTCTCAACAAGCTGTGCTGGAGAACAAAGTATTCACATTCCTTTAATTATACCAGCCACTTGGGTGTAGAATTCACTTACAAGGCGGGGGTTATGAATAATTATTTCACTGATCAACTAAACCACTTGTCTATTCCTGGTTTTTACCAGTTTCATAACCTCCTATCTGTAACAATAAAAATAATTTGTTTCTAGCCTTTACCTGTCTGCATCTTATTAGTCAATGCACAGCAAGGCTAATTAGTCAAGGCTCAATTTCATACACAGCACATTCCTTATGAACCAGTTATTTTTATTTTTTCTGCTTATCCACTGGAATGTGAAGTTGTTCTGAGACTTCCGGATAAGTAATTACAAATTAAAGCCCTAGAAAAATTCGGAGAAGAAGATTACACACCCTTTAGTAATAGGAATTGTAAATTTGTGCTGATATAACCATTTGCTTTCCTAATTACAGTGTCCAAGTTAGTTGTTTTTTTAAGCTCCAACTGTATTCAATTGTTGTGATTCTGATTATTTCAAAATAAAATAGTTGTTCCTCTTCATCTTAAAGCACAGTCCCAGTCATCTTTGGAATTTGGTATGTTGTGGGAAAAGGCTGCTAAGGCTGCTGAAAGAAGGATGGTCTTTAGAGGAGATATTTAGGGGCTGGGATGGTTTTTTACCCTTTGTGTTTCTTTTTAAAAAGAAGGCAAGCTGTCAGCTGATGTTGCAGTGACAACTGTGATTCTCACTTAAGAGTGGAAAGGATGCCAAAGATGTCAGACTGAGTAGATCTCTCAAGGAAAGATCTGACAGAAGGACCTGTATGTTTCGGTACAGGAGGTGAATTATTTAATTCTGTCTGGATATAGTTTCACTTTGGCTGCCTGCTCAGCCTGCTTTAGTCAGACCTCCTGGCTCCAGTCTGCTTCTACCAGGGCAGTGCAACAGGTATCACAATATGAACGTTAAACTAATAAAAAAAGACAGCAAATTGACCAAATGGTTCCTACCTGAGCACAGCAGGGACACTTCCTGTCCAGCACCACAGTTGACTCTCTGTGGAGAACTGCAGTTCACCAGGTGAGACTCGTCCCCAGAGCATTGAATACCTGTCAGACACACATCACTGTCACTGTCCCATACAGAGAGTAATTACAGACTTGTACTACAGAGCACTGAATACCTGTCAGACACACAGCACTGTCACTGTCAAATACAGAGAGGAGTTATAGACTTGTACTACAGAGCACT